AAATCCGTTGTTTACCTCCCACAAACCGTCTGACAATGTCCGGTCTAGGTGAGCAGCCACCGATGTCTACGTCAGCTGTAGGTAGGTCAATATGTGTTCTATTTTTAGAAGGTGAGTCGACGCCTGGAACTCTGGCAGGATTACATCAGCGCACACCACCTGAGTTACTCACTTCTTTTCTGCGTAGCAACGGGATTTCCTTGGGTTTTTTTTTCGGGAATTCCCTCTATCAATATTTTTCTAGTTTTACGTAAGAGGTGGAATATCAATTTTCAAGAAAATCCCCCCCCCCCCCAGAACGAAATAAAATTTGTATAGAAAGTATATACTTTTACCAGACTTCCCCCCCCCCCTACGAAAGTTTCAAGTGCTCCCCGGAGAAAATAAAGCCTGAAAGAAACTCATGACCGAGGGATAAAAAAACTATTGTCACCTCAACTCCAAGCTATCTTTTAATTTAAATTTACTTTTAAAAATCGTATGTGGATTTAATCATGATGTCAATTTGAGCTCAAGAATATTCTTTTTTTTAAATACTTGTGTGTCGTTGATAAAAAAAAAAAGATTTTCAGCACTACACCGACGTAGATCTAGATCCAGGTAGTTATGTTAGACCACATAGAGTGTCATTCATACAGTGGCTTGGGAAAGGCAAAAACGTGTGTATCGGGGGAGGGGGGATCTTTAACGTGAATATCGACGGATATATCTGGCAACTTTCGGTTTTACCCTGGGGCGTGTACAGTAGACAGCAGTTCATCCCTCATAGATGTGAAGGTCAGAGGTCGCTGTGTGTTCTACCTTGAGATGTTAATGGTCATGTTCTTAGTCATTTTTTAGCACATTGAGTAGATTTAACGCAAAGAATAGAAATCGCCTGTGTTAGTAAACTCTTAAATAAAACATGGTTCATCACGTATGCGTAGTCTAGGCGTCAATTAAAGATCACACATTAACCAACATAGAACATACACTAGATCTACAGACGTTATAAGCTCAGCTGCCAAAGATTAGTTAGAGATGTAAGTGTAAGGATGATGCATATTTTAGACACAGGTAAACTAGGATAGCCCACAATACTAGTGTGGGGCCCCTATCTCCGATACGCCAATACTAGTGTGAGGTGCCTATCTTCGATACGCCAATACTAGTGTGGGGCGCCTATATTATCTCCTATACGCTAATACTAAAGCATGTGGGACCTGATCACGATAAAGAAAAAAAAAAATCATTCAAAAATCTAGGTCAATCTTGTGCGGAATTTCCATAATCGTATGTTAGGCGCCATATTTGATGGAAGGCTTCGCCGTTTCCTTGGCAACCCCTTCCTGCATCGCATGCTTATTCACCGGCAGAATAAACAAGGCCATGGCAAACAGACAAAAAAATTATGGGTCTCTTTAAATAATCAATAGCGTATCCATTAATTCATCCTGAATCAATCGTATTCCCAATCAACGATTCGGGTCGTGTTTGTAATCATTAACCGTATCTTTAGATAAATAATTACTCATTTTCAGCTGATTTGGCCCACTACCAGTAAACACCGGGTCAAGGACAGATGGATATTCCGTGACGTCACAGAAACCATTCTTCATTCAAACATTTATCAAACATGACTTGAATGCCAAACGCTGAAGATGTAGATCTACCAGTCTTAGTGGGTAGTTATTTCCACAACGGAAGGGGAAACGTAATGAGAAAATTAGGGGAAGCTACTCCAATTTTAAAAATGTAATTCCTACAGCCCTAAGAACAGATGAATAAAGCAAAATGGACGTGCTCTCCCTATACATGTTGACAATCATGATTTTTAACTATCTTCTGGCGAGGTAACTATCCCATCACTAACGTGATAACTAGCCCATCAATGACGTGATAAGTAGCCCATTGCTGATGTGTCAACTAGCCAATAACTGACGTGATAACTGTCCGATCACTAACGCGATAACTAGCCCACTACAGACGTGATTACATGCTTTTCAAATACACGAGCCCATCAGCAGATCTCTTACACTTACAGATATTACGTTTGCATTAGCTTACACGCCCCAGTAAAGACAATTACATTCAGAAATAATCAAATCGGACTGTGCTATTTTTAAAAGAGTACACAATGACACACTGAACTTGTTAATACTAAAACATTGATAATAAAGGAATTAGGTGAGTCATGCGTACATAGTAAACAGCACCTCGTAAATAGCACCTCGTAAATAGCACAACGTAAACAGCACAACGTAAACAGCACATAGTAAACAGCACATAGTAAACAGCACATAGTAAACAGCACAACGTAAACAGCACATCGTAAATAGCACATCGTAAACAGCACATCGTAAACAGCACATCGTAAACAGCACATCGTAAACAGCACATCGTAAACAGCACATCGTAAACAGCACATCGTAAACAGCACATCGTAAACAGCACATCGTAAACAGCACATCGTAAACAGCACATAAGTACAGACTAAAGAGAAGCACTAATCTCTGTCAGGAGATGAGGGCTTTTAATACAGTTGGGCTTATATATTCTGTTCAGCGTGAGTGTGTGTGTGTGTGTGTGGCGTGGGGGGGGGGGTAGGATTAGCAGACGTGTTGTCTTACCAACTTTTGTTTTGTCAATTTGTCACCAACAAAACAAAACTTTATCGGTTACAGTAAATGCCCCACACCTCTGCTTACACTCACCACACAACTTACGTCTGCTTCGCCTGAACAAAAACAAAATGTCAGCGTATATTGATGAGGGTTGGTTGTGACTCACAGCGTCATGTTACCCAAATACCTTAGTGCGGGAGGGCGGGGGGATTATTTTAGACCACTGTGACCTAATTCTTGAGTTTAATTGACAAGGAGCATCACTCACAATCTAGGTCACAACAGCAGGCGTCGTCTGTCAGGCCGCGGGAAAATAATCCTGGGACGGATGATTGAAAAACTGTGAACACTTTTCGAAACAAACGAAACAATGATTCATCATGACTAATCAACACAGGAATTTCACTAAATTTTTAACACATGGTTGGATAATAACAAATCGACTTAAACAGCTAGAATTGATTGACTGGAAAATTTATGTTAAATTAATTTAAAATGTTAATGTGTGTGGCTAGTAGGTTACATATTAGCCCCGCCCCTTTAGTAACAGCTGGAGAGACATAGGCTTAGCCCATCTGTCCATTGATGGGTGAGCATCAGTAGCAATGCTTGTTTATTTCATGAATCTTATGCTAATCACCAATAAATATATTCAGTTCTGAGTCATTCATTGTTTTTAAAATTACCGTATATTTTGACTGGAGTTAGATCCAAATATATCTCACAGTTCTAATTATTTATTTTAAATTGAATATTTTTTAAAAATTCCCAGAAATCCCAATTTTACAGAAACGAAAATATTGTTTGTGGACAATAGGAAATTCTGTAGGGACGAACCACAAACAGAGGATGTAAAGATTGCGGAGTCTAAGTTTACAATTAAATGTTCATAAAATACGATCAAATTGTAAGATGGATATCATGTAATAAAACGCCCCTTAGGTAATCTCATATCAGGATTTATCTACATCATACAAATATTTTTGACATGATATTTAAATTTAGACATGATAAATTATATATAAAACTTCACAGCCGCGTGATATAGATATATTTAATATTTACTGCATGCAATAATCAGTTTGATTAACTAGGTCATGTGACGTGCTTTTATTACAACTGGAAAAACCAAGCAAACAGGGTACTTACAGTACTGCTGGATAGCAGGGTACTTACAGTACAGCTGGATGTGGGTCGGGAAGTCCCGGACAATGTAGCAGACGACAGAATGAGCACAGACACGCTTTTTTTGTTCCTGACTCACGCGCAATGCACGCGTAGTGACAGTTTCTGGGTGACGCTAATCAATACTACATAACGTTGACTCACTCTGGTGGGGTGGGGGGGAGGGTCGAACTTACTTAAAGCACAACCGTTGACGTACTGTATCGCGAGCATTGTATCAAGGCTGGTTTGGGCGTCTGGGGTAGAAAATATAGGAATATACGGTCTTTGGGGGGGGGGGGGGGTGTAGTAGGCTAGGGGAGGGAGGGGAAGTAATTGTATTCATGGGATGAAAGATGGATTAGGGGCATAGCTTTTTAGTGTGTGTTGTGACTCGTGTTAATGAGGGTTGGCTAAACGTAGATTAGTGACAATAGATTTTTAGAAGATATTTAAATTTTTAAACACAAGTAATTTACAATGCATATATTCTCTACTTCTATGTAAGGGACACATGAAGCCCCCGCAGTACCTATGTGTAAACACGGGGAATTGAACCCACATCCTTCACGCATGGATACTTCATGAGAAAATATTTTAATTGCAACCTGGTTTCGAACTCAGCTTGCCACGCTCGATTCATCTATTGTGTTTTAGTAAGACGATGTGTTATAGATTCCTCTATAGCAGGGATCTCCAAACTACGGCCCGCGGGCCGGATGCGGCCCGCGAGGTCCTCTCATCCGGCCCTCGGAGATCTTTTTGTCCACGGAAAAAAATGTTTGTTGTAGGTGGCTGCTGAAAAATGCCACCCGAATGATATACCTGGAAGAATATCTGGCCCCCGAACTAATATTTGATAGTTAATGCGGCCCTCGGGCTGAAAAGTTTTGAGACCCCTGCTCTATAGCATCGGGAAAAAAAATCTGTGCCTCATACTTTTCAATTCAACTTTTGGTATAATCCGGTTCTATAAAAACATGAACAATACTATGTCTACAGTTTTATTCAACATTTGGGTATAATCTGGTTCTATAAAAACATGAACAATACTATGCCTACAGTTTTATTCAACATTTGGGTATAATCTAGTTCTATAAAAACATGAACCATGCCATGCTGCCCGGATTAACGACTACCCGGTTGGGATTAGTCAACAGATGTTGCTCCGATTATTTGTATCGATAAGCAATCAATCGATATTCACGATACCCTGTACCCGCACTGCCTCCATTAAAGAACCCGAGCTTTTAAACGATGAATAATTGAATGATTGGAGTTGGTCTTGTGAGATATTTCCAACTGTCTGTTGCTGGGTCGAGTAGGACTGGGCAGTTTGGGGCAGGATTGATTAGGACTGGGCAGTTTGGGGCAGGATTGATTAGGACTGGGCAGTTTGGGGCAGGATTGATTAGGACTGGGCAGTTTGGGGCAGGATTGATTAGGACTGGGCAGTTTGGGGCAGGATTGATTAGGACTGGGCAGTTTGGGGCAGGATTGATTAGGACTGGGCAGTTTGGGGCAGGATTGATTAGGACTGGGCAGTTTGGGGCAGGATTGATTAGGACTGGGCAGTTTGGGGCAGGATTGATTAGGACTGGGCAGTTTGGGGGAGGGTGGAGTAGGACTGGGCAGTTTGGGGCAGGATTGATTAGGACTGGGCAGTTTGGGGGAGGGTGGAGTAGGACTGGGCAGTTTGGGGCAGGATTGATTAGGACTGGGCAGTTTGGGGCAGGGTGGAGTAGGACTGGGCAGTTTGGGGCAGGATTGATTAGGACTGGGCAGTTTGGGGCAGGATGGAGTAGGACTGGGCAGTTTGGGGCAGGATTGATTAGGACTGGGCAGTTTGGGGCAGGATGGAGTAGGACTGGGCAGTTTGGGGCAGGATGGAGTAGGACTGGGCAGTTTGGGGCAGGATTGATTAGGACTGGGCAGTTTGGGGCAGGATGGAGTAGGACTGGGCAGTTTGGGGCAGGATGGAGTAGGACTGGGCAGTTTGGGGCACTGTGAGTAGGACTGGGCAGTTTGGGGCACTGTGAGTAGGACTGGGCAGTTTGGGGCAGGATGGAGTAGGACTGGGCAGTTTGGGGCAGGATGGAGTAGGACTGGGCAGTTTGGGGCAGGATTGATTAGGACTGGGCAGTTTGGGGCACTGTGAGTAGGACTGGGCAGTTTGGGGCACTGTGAGTAGGACTGGGCAGTTTGGGGCAGGATGGAGTAGGACTGGGCAGTTTGGGGCACTGTGAGTAGGACTGGGCAGTTTGGGGCACTGTGAGTAGGACTGGGCAGTTTGGGGCAGGATGGAGTAGGACTGGGCAGTTTGGGGCAGGATGGAGTAGGACTGGGCAGTTTGGGGCAGGGTTGAGTTGGACTGGGCAGTTTGGGGGAGGGTGGAGTAGGACTGGGCAGTTTGGGGCAATGTGAGTAGGACTGGGCAGTTTGGGGGAGGGTGGAGTAGGACTGGGCAGTTTGGGGCAGGATTGATTAGGACTGGGCAGTTTGGGGCAGGGTTGAGTTGGACTGGGCAGTTTGGGGGAGGGTGGAGTAGGACTGGGAAGTTTGGGGCAATGTGAGAAGGACTGGGCAGTTTGGGGCAGGATTGATTAGGACTGGGCAGTTTGGGACAGGGTTGAATAGGACTGGGCAGTTTGGGGCAGGGTGGAGGACTGGGCAGTTTGGGGCAGGGTGGAGTAGGACTGGGCAGTTTGGGGCAGGATTGATTAGGACTGGGCAGTTTGGGGGAGGGTGGAGTAGGACTGGGCAGTTTGGGGCAATGTGAGTAGGACTGGGCAGTTTGGGGCAGGATTGATTAGGACTGGGCAGTTTGGGGCAGGATGTAGGACTGGGCAGTTTGGGGCAGGATGTAGGACTGGGCAGTTTGGGCAGGATTGAGTAGGACTGGGTAGTTTGGGCAGGATTGAGTAGGACTGGGTAGTTTGGGCAGGATTGAGTAGGACTGGGCATTTTGGGGCAGGGTGTAAGTACATAACACGTACACACCGAAAGTTAAGGTTTTTCTTTGCGAGAGATGGATGGGGGAGAGGGCACATCATTTTACTTTTTACTTTACATAATGCATCACTTGAATTTCAAATCTGTAACTAACACAATTAATACACCACTTCTCACATAGCCGCCGAAAACACTGTTGACAAAACCCACAAATAAACCATATATTAAAACATTACCCGGCAGTACAGCTAGATGTATTAAATAAATATTTAGTTCCTTGTTTTAACATTTGACATTTGACCCGTGGCATTTGCATGTTGCTGATATAGATAAAAGTATTGTACCAACACGTCTACAGTAGGCCACATACGTTCGGCATTACATCAACACAAACATAGCCGATGATACCATTTTAAATCTTATCCAACATTTTTAATCTTATCCAACATTTTTAATCTTATCCAAGATTTCGCCCAATAATTCATTGAGTGTTGTATTAATGCAACACGGGTTAGGATATGAAGTATTAGTACCACACAAAGTCACGTGTTAAGTCCTGACATTTCCGGTTTCGAGCTTGCGATATCGAGGCTATCCTCGTGAGAAAATATAACATGTTCATATCAATCTGCCATATAGATCTATTTGTAAAGCCAATAACGGTGTTTTTATTTTGGCATTGTTTTTTTTTAGTACAGAATGTTCAAGGCTAGATTAGAGTTGAAATGTCGTATTTGTGCTGCAAATTATATATATATATATATATATATATATATATATATATATATATATATATATATATATATATATATATATATATGAGACCAAAAACTTCTGTTGCCCATCATTTTTTTTGCTCTTGTAATAAAAGCCTTAATGTCTTGTAAAGAAGCTCAACATGGAAATTACCCCCCCCCCCCCCCCCCCCCCCCATTTCCCCATCTCCGGTTACCCAGCTGATGCAGGCACCAAACGTAAACACGATCCGGCGATCAATTTTCCCAGAAGAGCACAAAGCGCCATCTACTTGGCCTAGCATGGGACGCGTCCCTGTAGCGTTACACGCCGACGCTCGTCAAGCATAGCTGGCCTTCGTCAAAAAAAAAAAAAAAAGATCTATAAATAGAAACGTTCTTTGTAATGTCCAACCAACGTGTCACACACGCCCTCGCCCCCCCCCCCCCCCATCCCAACATTTGGTAACGCTTAGCAGCTGTGTGGCCACGCCTCAGTGATCATTCACTCCGATGATTACGTTTCACGGTAAAAGAGATCTTTGTCGAGTTAACTGCCGTGCCTCGTGCGGTAGAAATCCCCATCAGGTTTCAGCAGGAGGGTCGCTTAGGCCCAACACACCCCTAGACCACCGTTAGCTGGACTGTGGTCCTTGTTACACCCTAGACCACCGTTAGCTGGACTCTCGTCCTTGTTACACCCTAGACCACTGTTAGCTGGACTCTCGTCCTTGTTACACCCTAGACCACTGTTAGCTGGACTCTCGTCCTTGTTACACCCTAGACCACCGTTAGCTGGACTCTCGTCCTTGTTACACCCTAGACCACCGTTACGTTAGCTGGACTGTGGTCCTTGTTACACCCTAGACCACCGTTACGTTAGCTGGACTGTGGTCCTTGTTACACCCTAGACCACCGTTACGTTAGCTGGACTGTGGTCCTTGTTACACCCTAGACCACCGTTACGTTAGCTGGACTGTGGTCCTTGTTACACCCTAGACCACCGTTACGTTAGCTGGACTGTGGTCCATGTTACCCTATGACGCGACTGGTCCATGTTACCCTATGACGCGGCTCGCCTAGTTACCCCATGACGCGGCTGGTCCTTGTTACCCTATGACGCGGCTGGTCCATGTTACCCTATGACGCGGCTGGTCCATGTTACCCCATGACGCGGCTGGTCCATGTTACCCCATGACGCGGCTGGTCCGTGTTATCCCATGACGCGGCTGGTCCATGTTACCCCATGACGCGGCTGGTCCGTGTTACCCCATGACGCGGCTGGTCCGTGTTACCCCATGACGCGGCTGGTCCATGTTACCCCCATGACGCGGCTGGTCCGTGTTACCCCATGACGCGGCTGGTCCATGTTACCCCATGACGCGGCTGGTCCGTGTTACCCCATGACGCGGCTGGTCCGTGTTACCCCATGACGCGGCTGGTCCATGTTATCCCATGACACGGCTGGTCCTTGTTATCCCATGTTACCCCATGAAGCGGCTGGTACATGTTACCCCATGACGCGGCTCGCCTAGTTACCCCATGACGTCCACCACGAACTGTCAGCCTAACAGTGTATCCGCTCAGCCGTATCATTTCTTTTACTCTCGTTTTAATGCCATAGTGATCTAAGTGCACCGACTCAAACCCATCGTTACCGTGTTCTAGTTAGAATACTTTAGACCAGTGTGACACCGCACGGTGTTTTTGCCCAAGGGACAGAAGCATCAGACAATCATTTCCCTTTATCTGTGTCAATGTTCAGCATTGAGCTGGACCACATTAAACACAACACTTGTCGGTAGAGAATACTATTCTGGGCAATTTTTGATTCGGTACTTTCTCTACAGTTCAAACCTTGGTTTAAAATCCACACACAAGTAGACTGGCTATATCCGGCCAGAAAAAAAAATCGGTTTTTACAAATATTTAAATGTGTTATCAATAGAATCTTCCCGAATAACCGTAGTCTCATTTTGTATTTATCTGATACAGATGATAAAGATATTTAATTTAAACCGTTAGATTTATGTGTACGATTTTTAGTACCCTGTAAATTGCAAACGTTATGTTTAAGTATATGGTAATATTAAGTTTGGAGTTGATATGGCCTATGAATAATCCTTTCTGTAGAAATAAATACATGTCACTTTGTTAGTGCAGTTATTTGAGAATGCTCGTTAACTAATTAAACATTTAATTAAATGGTAAGTGAATCTCGCCATAGCGAATATGAAACCATTGGTTGGGGTAAGAGCTAAGATCAATGCAAGTTTGTGTTTTTGTAAATTATAACTTCCAATTTTGTTGGCAAAATATATGCAATTCTCCATACATCAATAAGGCGAATTTATAATTATCCTACGTTTTTGTTTAATGAACACCGGCAGACGATAGATCAGCCAGTCAACCCCATTCTACCTGGCAATATGAAGAGCTGTCAAAGTATGTCGGGCTGACTTTTACCTGGGCAGATAACAGGCGCAGGTAACAAGTGCGGCAAGTATGAATCATCGCAAACATTGAGCAAACAGTTTGGGCAGTTGGCGGGACGTTTGATCTTCCCGCCTAGATGGAGGGTCTCAAGTTGTGCTCAATGGGGTTTGGTCTTACCGCCTAGATCGTGGGTCTCAAGTTGTGCTCAATGGGACTTGGTCTTCTACTTTTGGTGGTAGCAGTCGATGACTATACACACATACATACATTCAAACAACACACGTGTGCGTTACGACAGCACATTAGGACAACACACACATTCAAACAAAACACATGTGTGCATTCAGAAAATACACTTTGAACTCACATAAGCATGCAAACTTCATGCCCTGGGACATATGTCCCCCACACGCCCCCCCCCCCCCGCTACGCCCCTAAAACACACACACACATTCAAACAACACACACGTGTGCATTCAGACAATACACTGTGAACACACATATACATGCAAACTTCACCAAGACCCACATATATTCAAACAACACACACACACACACAAACATTCAAACACTACATCATTCTGATCGCAAAATGACAGATTTGAAAACCCCACAGATTCGGTAGTAGCCTACAGAAGTTCTCTTTGTATTTTCACACTGGCTGCCTTCAACTATTTGTGTTGGTAATAAATTAGTTTATAAGAAAACCGGAACTGACGCGTTTTTTCCCAAAAACACACAATACACCCACACAAACTGAAACAGAATACAAAGTCTACACTTGCGAGTAATTTTTAAATTTGATTCCAAGAGTCCAAGAATGATAGCAGAAAGAAGGCCTACTTTTGTACGTCAACCTTGAACAGGACCAAACCCGTGATATTTTTGTCTAACTTTAGTTCTCGGAAAATCCGATATTTTTTTAAATGGGTGCAGCAGTAAAAACAATTGAACGGTACGGGGTGGCGCTGATTTCTTCCCCAGAAAACCCATCCGTCAGTCACGTGATAATCCCATAACTCATGTGAAAAAACACGCGACATTAGTATCGCTCATAAATAATAGAGCCAAGGTCAAGGCTACGGCCATGCGTATAACAATCTGTTCTTTGGGATAGAAAAAAACAACAAGAGTTTCCCACCTTGGTGGCCACTTCTGCTAAAAGTCTGGCCAAAAGTGCAGGTGAAATTCCGACTGACGTAGCAACAGATTGTATGTTGACTATTTACTGCCCCCGGCCTTGGCCTAAATACAATCTTTTAATGATTGTAAAATTTTATTTCAAAACCGTCTGATCAAAATCACAAGGCTGGTGTTAGTCAAAGTAACGTCTCTTAGATAGCAGTCAAGTACTAGCTGGGTGTAGCAACTGTGAGTGGCTAGGTGTAGCCGGTAGCGATGAGTATGTAGCTCGGGGTTGGTGTGTCAGTTCGTGTGTCCGTTCGTGTGTGACATCAAAGTCCAACTTCACCCATTATTCTTTGCTTTGATTTTTACCTAGCACATTACAAGTTTGTCAACATTTCGTCACAATTTTGACACCTTTTTTTAAAACAGTGCCGAAATTGTGTGAATCAAGCTTTGAGCATCAATAACTACCATACGAGCATGTATGTGTGTTTAGTTAAATCCGTGTTATTGTGACATCTGTCAATCACATACAGCCTTTCAAAAACATTTAGATTCTAGTACACATCACCTTCCCGTACACATAAACAATGACCACGTGACCAGGATACGTAGTCTATAGTCGCTATAGACTACGTATCCTGGTCGATAATTGGAAACATAATATTTAAAAAAAATTGTTTTCTGTTCAACAATTCCAAAGTTTAATTTATATTTTAATGTTCAATTGCGAAGGTAGCGTATATAAAGAAGAGGTTCTGACTATATTAAAACTGGGATTAAAAGAGAGAAATATTGGTACCCCAGGGTACCATCTACTCCATTCTTCAGCAAACACGTTACTCCCTATCTAACTTTTGTAAGCTGCCACCAAATTTGATGACATCATAGATCTATTTTTTCAACAACACCAAGCCAGTCCCAACCCCCCCCCCCCCCCTACCCTTTGTGAGCTGGGCTGAGTCACGTGGTCCCTCGCAGCTAAATTTAAACTCATTGTTTTGAGGACTGTTCAAATCCCGAAAGTGACATCACCACCACAACAAAAGTACAACTTTAAAACTAGCAGCAACATGCTGATAAACACAACTTTAAAACTAGCAACTAGCTGATAAACACAACTTAAAAAACTAGCAACAACAAGCTGATAAACACGAAAAAAAAAATTGTTGGGAGTTTGGGACCAAAAAAAAGTTGGCAAAAAAGTAGCACGTCATTTCAATTTTTATCAGACATTTGTTTTTATTTTGCTTACATCATGCCTAATTCATGTCCATGAGCATGTTATTTCTCAGTCATGTCCGTGCGTGTGGTTTTTTTTTTTGTCGCTGTAAACATGTTAAGTGCTAAGTTATATTAACTTATATTTAAATATATTGACATCGGGAAAGACAAAATAAAGAATAACATTGGGAAATAAGGTTGGGTCTGTTTACGTTTTAATGCAACTTTTACATGGCCAGAGTGGGGTTTTTGGCCAATTCAGTGGCCACTCTTTCATGGCCTGTGGTGACTTACTAAGGTTAATTTTAAGGCCACTGTTTCATGGTCTGTGATGACTTATGTTCAGGTCAAAAGCCACTGCTTCATGGCCAGTTATGTCTTAAGGTCAAGTCTAAGGCCACTGTCTCATGGCCAGTTAAAGGGCTGCTGGCCAACAAACAAAAATGTCAGTGTATGACGTCACAGCAGAGAATTGTGAGTGTTTATTGATGGGTCTTTACACGTGCATTCAGACGTCCATGGTTTAACATTTTTTTTTCTTAACTATGAAATATGGGAAAATAAAGTTACAACAGATTCCTGTAACTCTGTAACTATTTTATCTTGCTTTATTTAATGTTTTATGGTCAGAAAAACGACAGAGGTTATGATAAAATAAAATCTTACCTGCCAAATGATTTATCCTTGCCTCTTTCCAACACACAAAGGTCCACCCACAAAGGTCCTTCTAAAAGACACAAGGTCCACCTACGATTGTCCACACAATGTGTTTTAAAGTTTGTAAAAATTGATGTTTATTAAAGTCCAAAGTTTATAAAGAATCCCTGCGTCACATAACCAATTGTCCTGCGGGTATAAAGAAAAACATGGAACTAAAAATATTATCTTTCAGTTAAAGCTAGTGCTTTAAAACGGCGAAATAGTTTTTAAGAAATCTTGGAGTAGAGAAATTCTAGGCCGAATTTAAACAGAAACTGAGCACTATCTGCATATCACCTGAACAACATCTATCCTACTAAACCAAATGACCGTGTTTTGTTTTGTGAAATTATTTTTAAGAAGACAATCTACAACTTTTTTTTCAGCCTAAAAATAGCTTAACCACTATTTTTGGTAAAAGGGATTTACCGATTTTGTGGATTTTTAAAACTAAAATTTGCTTTCAGTATTTATTTTATTTTCCTCATGTAATGGGCTTATCCTTGTTGTTGAATAACACTCAATATTTACTGTTAGTATACACATGTAATCTGACAATATCGCTGTATTTATGTAATTGGTGTAAGCAAACAGTTGTATTATCTGACTGATCGAACAGGATTCACGACTTCACCAAACAACACACAATAGACGAAATGTACACTACACACGTAGATTTACACTGGAGGTAACTCGGGTAAACAATGACAAACATTGGGTTGACCGTTGAAACTAAACACAACTTCACTGCTTGTAAAGGTTGAGGGTCAATTAACTTAATCACAAAGATAAACACTACTAGGCTAACCTAAAAGCTTAACGCAAACTAACAACACGAAGTCAAACTACAATCCGTCAGTTCTCATTTCACACATAGCTACTTTTAAGTACAGCATAGGCAGTTAATCTATAAATCAATTATATATATATATATATATATATATATATATATATATATATATATATATATATATATATATATAAGCTATGCACGCTATTTATAAGCCTGCAGTGTTAATCAGTCTAACCACCAACACAAATAGAATGGCACAATATGCAGAAAGATCAGCTAGACGCACCAATGCCTACACCGCACGATGAGAGAGTGCTTTGTTGAAGTGGTAAAATAAACCGGGGAAAAATTGACCTCCGACCGGGGCAAATGCAACCGATGCAACTAGGACAGCGGGGACGGCGAGGGCGAGGCTGGCGGTGAATGGTCCCGTGATGCAGGGCTCTTACGGTGTCTTACCAGTAGTGCCACGGAAAATGTATCCGCCTCGCTACTAGTCTCTTTTAGGCATCGCTTAGGATGCTTGCTACCCGAGCATAAAAACTGAAGTAAAATAAATTCTTACGTAATGATAATTGTTAGCTTCAAATGGTTATCTTTATAGCTCAAATAATGTTATTTAGTGGAAAAAAGTGTGCATTAAGAAACCATTAACTTTGATTGAATTATTAATGGCGGCACATTAGTGGGTCCGACACCAAGCTTATAATTAGTCCTACGTGCCTCACACAAACTACCCCACACCCCACACAACTAGTCCTACGTGCCTCACACAAACTACCCCACACCCCACACAACTAGTCCTACATGCCTCACACAAACTACCAGCTTCCCCCCACACAACTACATGCCTCATACAAACTACCCCACACCCCACACAAGTACATGCCCCACACAAACTACCAGCTTCCCCCACACAACTACGTGCCTCACACAAACTACTAGCTCCCCCCACACCACACACAACTACATGCCTCACACAAACTACCCCACACCCCACACAACTACATGCCTCACACAAACTACCAGCTCCCCAACCCCACTACCCACACCCCACACAACCAGTCCTCACACAAACGACCACATTCCCCACCCCACATTCTATAGCTTATATATTTGACCTGTATGTTCGCACATGCAGGAAGCGGCACTGTTTATGACGGGTCATGCTGACATTTCAGGCGTCTCGTGTTTAAAAAATGGTGCACATCATATCGTAATCATGCGCCTGAGTTTTGTTTGGTTTAGTGCATAAGGCGAGGGCTTCTGTCTGAGTGTTGAAATAATATTGTTTGGTTTAGTGCATAAGGCGAGGGCTTCTGTCTGAGTGTTGAAATAATATTGTTTAGTTTATATGTGAGGGCTCCTGTCTGAGTGTTGAAATAATATTGTTTGGTTTATATGTGAGGGCTTCTGTCTGAGTGTTGAAATAATATTGTTTGGTTTATTGCATAAGGCGAGGGCTTCTGTCTGAGTGTTGAAATAATATTGTTTGGTTTATATGTGAGGGCTTCTGTCTGAGTGTTGAAATAATATTGTTTGGTTTATTGCATAAGGGGTTTTGTCTAAGTGTTGAAATAATATTGTTTGGTTTATATGCTAGGGCTTCTGTCTGAGTGTTGAAATAATATTGTTTGGTTTATTGCATAAGGGGTTTTGTCTAAGTGTTGAAATAATATTGTTTGGTTTATATGCTAGGGCTTCTGTCTGAGTGTTGAAATAATATTGTTTGGTTTATTGCATAAGGGGTTTTGTCTAAGTGTTGAAATAATATTGTTTGGTTTATATGCTAGGGCTTCTGTCTGAGTGTTGAAATAATATTGTTTGGTTTATTGCATAAGGCGAGGGCTTCTGTCTGAGTGTTGAAATATTGTTTGGTTTATTGCATAAGGCGAGGGCTTCTGTCTGAGTGTTTAAAATAATATTGTTTGGTTTATTGCACAAGACAAGGGCTTCTGTCTGTTAAAATAATATTGTTTGGTATATATGTGATGGCTTCTGTCGGAGTTGAAATAATAGTTTGTTTATTGCATAAGGCGAGGGTTTTTTCTTGTTCCCAAGCCCCAAGCATATAATCCTGCTCCCAATTTGTCCCCCTCTAATATAATCCTGCTCCCAATTAGTCGCCCCCCTCCCATATAATCCTGCTCCCAATTTGTCGCCCCCCTCCCATATAATCCTGCTCCCAATTTTCCCCCCTCCCATATAATCCTCCTCCCAATTTTTCCCCCCTCCCATATAATCCTGCTCCCAATTTGTCGCCCCCCCTCATATAATCCTGCTCCCAATTTGTCCCCCCCCATATAATCCTGCTCCCAATTTGTCCCCCCCTCCCATATAATCCTGCTCCCAATTTGTCGCCCCCCCCTCATATAATCCTGCTCCCAATTTGTCCCCCCCCCTCCCATATAATCCTGCTCCCAATTTGTCGCCCCCCTCATATAATCCTGCTCCCAATTTGTCGCCCCCCCCCTCATATAATCCTGCCCCCAGTTTGTCTGACCCCTCCCATATAATCCTGCTCCCAATTTGTCCCCCCCCTCATATAATCCTGCTCCCAATTTGTCCCCCCCTCCATATAATCCTGCCCCCAATTTGTCCCCCCCTCCCATATAATCCTGCTCCCAATTTGTCCCCCTCTAATATAATCCTGCTCCCAATTTGTCGCCCCCCCTCCCATATAATCCTGCTCCCAATTTGTCCCCCCCCCTCCCATATAATCCTGCTCCCAATTTTTCCCCCCTCCCATATAATCCTGCTCCCAATTTGTCGCCCCCCATATAATCCTGCTCCCAATTTGTCCCCCCATATAATCCTGCTCCCAATTTGTCCCCCCCTCCCATATAATCCTGCTCCCAATTTGTCGCCCCCCCCTCATATAATCCTGCTCCCAATTTGTCCCCCACCCCATATAATCCTGCTCCCAATTTGTCCCCCCCCCCTCCCATATAATCCTGCTCCCAATTTGTCGCCCCCCCTCATATAATCCTGCTCCCAATTTGTCCCCCCCCCCCTCCCATATAATCCTGCTCCCAATTTGTCGCCCCCCCTCATATAATCCTGCTCCCAATTTGTCCCCCCCATATAATCCTGCTCCCAATTTGTCCCCCCCCCCCCCCCCATATAATCCTGCTCCCAATTTGTCCCACCCATATAATCCTGCTCCCAATTTGTCCCCCCCTCCATATAATCCTGCTCCCAATTTGTCCCCCCCATATAATCCTGCTCCCAATTTGTCCCCCCCCTCCATATAATCCTGCTCCCAATTTGTCCCCCCCCCCTCCATATAATCCTGCTCCCAATTTGTCCCCCCCCATATAATCCTGCTCCTAATTTGTCCCCCCCCTCCCATATAATCCTGCCCCCAGTTTGTCTGACCCCTCCCATATAATCCTGCTCCCAATTTGTCCCCCCCCCATATAATCCTGCTCCCAATTTGTCCCCCCATATAATCCTGCTCCCAATTCGTCCCCCCCATATAATCCTGCTCCCAATTTGTCACCCCCCCCATATAATCCTGCTCCCAATTTGTCCCCCATCCCATATAATCCTGCTCCCAATTTGGCCCCCCCCCCTCCATATAATCCTGCTCCCAATTTGTCCCCCCCATATAATCCTGCTCCCAATTTGTCCCCCCCCTCCATATAATCCTGCTCCCAATTTGTTCCCCTTCCCATATAATCCTGCTCCCAATTTGTCCCCCCCCCTCCATATAATCCTGCTCCCAATTTGTCCCCCCCCCCTCCATATAATCCTGCTCCCAATTTGTCCCCCCCCTCCATATAATCCTGCTCCCAATTTGTCCCCCCCTCCATATAATCCTGCTCCCAATTTGTCCCCCCATATAATCCTGCTCCTAATTTGTCCCCCCCCCCCATATAATCCTGCCCCCAGTTTGTCTGACCCCTCCCATATAATCCTGCTCCCAATTTGTCCCCCCCCCCCATATAATCCTGCTCCCAATTTGTCCCCCCCCTCCATATAATCCTGCCCCCAATTTGTCCCCCCCTCCCATATAATCCTGCTCCCAATTTGTCCCCCCCCCCCCCATATAATCCTGCTCCCAATTTGTCCCCCCCATATAATCCTGCTCCCAATTTGTCCCACCCATATAATCCTGCTCCCAATTTGTCCCCCCCTCCATATAATCCTGCTCCCAATTTGTCCCCCCCCATATAATCCTGCTCCCAATTTGTCCCCCCCCCTCCATATAATCCTGCTCCCAATTTGTCCCCCCCCCCTCCATATAATCCTGCTCCCAATTTGTCCCCCCCCCCATATAATCCTGCTCCTAATTTGTCCCCCCCCCTCCCATATAATCCTGCCCCCAGTTTGTCTGACCCCTCCCATATAATCCTGCTCCCAATTTGTCCCCCCCTCCCATATAATCCTGCTCCCAATTTGTCCCCCCCTCCCATATAATCCTGCTCCCAATTTGTCCCCCCCTCCATATAATCCTGCCCCCAATTTGTCCCCCCCTCCCATATAATCCTGCTCCCAATTT